TTAACGATTATCGTTACCGTGCAATTAAACCAGTGACTAATGATTGTGATCGCCGTGTAATTATGATTAATGAATAATACCAGTAATGGAAGCAACGTAGCAATCGGACGCGATTAACTCATTAGACGTTAATCGCAAAATGGTTATATTTTTTTAACTTTGAATTGATAAATTAACAAGGGAATATTAATAACGACATTCAATAGTATATTTGTAATTTAAGTTAATTCGATTTTTACTAGTCGAGGGTTCTAATCATTTAATTCCAATTTTTAACTCGCTGAACCTTGTTCCGTAGTCTTTCTTTGGCAAATAAAATCGTAACAAAGTAAATGAATAAAAAGGAAATATTTTCTGTGTTTCTCAGAAAACATTTTAAACAAATTTTTATAAACAGGCACGAAATACATACAGATGGTCTGCCCGAGACCTAATGCGATTTTAATTACTCTCGCCGAAGTAACGTAGACGTGGTAACTATAGTACTCGCTCTTCTCTCGTGGAGCAAGGATGGTAACCTTAAAACCGTAGTTTACCGATCCCGAGTGTAAATCCTGCGGCGGGGGTAAAAAAAATAAATCGCGATTAAAGAACGATACGACGGTTAACTATCCACCCCCTCGGATGTAGATCGATTTCAATCGATAAAAACTAATTAAATTTTTCCAGCGTTAACAACCGACGCCTATCCTCAGCGCCGCGAGCATCGACTTGTTTCAACCGTAGCAAACCAAATTCACTCGGCGTAAATCTTTCCCCGTTCCCATTAACTCCGCCACCACCGACGACGACGGTTTACGTAGCAGATTATAGGAGTTCCTGAACCGTTTAATTTCACCGTGCGAACATTATGCCGCCGCCCCTGTTAGTCGACGATATACCACCGTCTAAACGCGATTCGTAAACAGCTGTGCTTTCGTCAATTGCGCCCAGGCAATCGTTAACCGAGTACTCCGCCTTAACAGCTCCGAAAACAGATGATTTTCTCCATTTTTTGGGAAAGGAAATTATTAACGATGCCGAAATAAATCTTTTTAGGGTACAAACTGGTATACATTTTCAATTAACAACATTACAACGAGCAATCGAAATACAATTTCTGATAAAAATGTCTCGATCGCTTACAACCGTTATTTGTAATCCAAAACATTTTAGTCGAGGAAATCAGCTGCCATTTTCATTCTGGTTGTAACGATTATGGTTCCTGGTACGATATGTAGGAGTAGCAAAAGCTTTAGAAAAGTCGAGAGAAACGATAATGGGAAAGCGAATATCAGCCGATAAATGAAAAGTACGCGAGCAATATTTTTCGTTGTCCCGTCTGCGATAAAACTTTCGTAAAAATCGGACGCCGGTGATTGCGAGCGAAACGTTCGAACGGTTGTAAGCGTTCACGCGTCGACGGGGATGTTTAAAAGCCAGTTTCGCGAGCAAGTAGTGTTTGCCCGTGTCTGCATTAACTCGCGATTGTCGTGCTCAATAGGATTAAAACTTAAATTGCCCGACGAGAGAGAACGTGTGTGAGAGACATAGACACAACTGGTAGAGGCTTAACAGGAATCACTGCATTTACGTGGGCTGTCCAGCGTCTTTGAGACTTTTCCCGTTTATGTTCGATCGTACCGTGCAACGAAATCACCCAGAATCTTGAAATGTTTAATTATTATAGAAATTAATAATGACGAAACTAAATATTTGAGTTCTCGTTCGTACTCGTTTATAGTATGATCTTCCATGTTACGAACTAAGATTGTCGGGGGTGGCACGAAGATGATGTCTGACAGGGGGATGAAACAATTAATATCAATTAGAGCTTATAATTATAGTTACATTAATATCAATCGGGTCTCGCAATTACTGCCACAAGACGGCCAAACTGTGTCTAGAAGATTATTCTCCCACCCCCTCTCCATTGTTTATGTTATTTAGCGCGAATGATTCGTCGACTGGCGCAGTCGACGGAACACTAACAATATCACGGCACATCGTACATACAAATTTAGTTTCAAATTCAATAGAATAATGCTTCAATGTGCATTCTTTTCTTTCAACTGCCTGGGTCGGGAAGAAATCTTTCTTTTCTCTTTGTTTGCGTAGAAGCTCACGTACACAAAGGCGACAACCAAATTCCAGCTTGCAAGTAAATACACTCGAGTCATGAATCCAGCAATGCTTTTACTTTTGCATTCAAGATTTGACTGTAACGAATCGAGACAAAGATGAGCACAAAGTGGAGAGGAGGGCTAACAAAAATTCGAGAACTCGATGGTTCGAGGATCCCACCCCTGAAAATTATTAACAGAAATAGGGATATTAAAGTTTCAATGCATTTTCAACATTTGTCGATCAAGAAATAGATTCTTCCCTCCCGTATTTGCCTCATTTTCTATCAAATTTCTATCGGTGTCTTAACGAAAAATTTAATTACAAACTCCGCGTCTTATAGACACTAAACTTACAAGTTACATACAAAACAAACGACATTTCAAGACAGGTAAACAGAAATTAAACAGTATCACAATCAATGAGCAACAAACTTTTCAAAAGGCCCTCGTTTGTTTGATGGTGTTTTGATTTATTTTGTTCCTAGTTCGAGCTGAACAGAGGTTGCGATCGGAACCAAAATGGCGAGATTCACGTTGTGGTCGCCGACGGTGGCGCGTATTTAGCTCGAACGGACGGTTCCGTGGGAGGAACGTACGATAACTCGACGATTACTTATTAAAGAAGGGCGATGACGGGAAACAGAAGTAATTTCGAGCGTGTCGATTACCCCTGGCGGAATTCTTCCGCTTGTGCCTGCGTGAAAGTCTCCCCACGGGCGAGCCCCTATAGAAACACCGTCATTGACTATCATCCATTCGAGGCCCTCTTCGCCTCGGGGTTATTTTTCGTATACTACGGAGAGAGGAGGAACTAGGCCACTGGAAACCGAGTTCTTTTTAACCGCGGCCCGTCCATTTTATGAATTTTATGAAACCCCGGGACGGTTTGTACGGAGATGAAAAAGTTTCGCGGGCTTTAATGAAACTTCGGAGAAAAGTTCTACGCCCCCGCCGCTGCCCCCACGCTACGTAGATCTTTCCACCGGATACACGTGTATTCGCCGCGATTTCTTCGCGACTTTTCCACCTTTCTCCCTCTCCATCTTTCTTGTCTATTCATGTAAGAATCTTTCGAATCTATTTGTTTGCCCCAGAAACACCCCGAGCGGGGGGTGTCGTCCGGCCTAACGGACAGAAATTCTTAAAAATATCCTGTTTGTAAAATACAGGGGCTACTTTTCAGAACTCTCGGAGAATTACAATAAATTCATAATTTAAAAATTGAAGGTACCTTAATGACACTTGCGTCGAGACATCCAAATAAAACCATCGCCTTTGGTGAGGGGTTCACGAGGCTGCCCGAGAATTGGCAAAAATATATAGATGCTAATCGAGAATGTAGACACAAGAACGGGGAAGAATACCGTCGATAATCGGGGTTAGAGGAGCATCGAAGGAATCTATGTGCCCGTTCGCCAAGCTCGTTTATCGTTGGGGTCGCAGAGGACGGTTTCGCAGACACTGCATCTTCCCCGACGATGAGCCGAATGCGCTAAACGCGTTCCACGGCGGAAAATCGTCGAAGCGTGACGGTCACTGATTGGTAGGTGCAGCGAGACGTGACGGTTTACGAGAAGTGGGAACGGCAACTTGGAAAACGGTTGCGCCGGATTTGCGATGCCGCCGCGGCGTTCGGCATCGCCTCTCGCAATCCTGTCGTGATTTAGGTCGGGACCGGGTGTTTCCCGATTTCGATCGACCCGGCCAAATGTCTTTAGGAAAGAATATTGCTCTCCTTCCGACCTTCTCAAAGCCAGCCAGTGTATTCTCTGTTGCCTTTCGCTCCACTTTGATCGTGGCTGAGTAAAAATTCGCTGGAGCGGTTTTGCGTTTGCCCTACCAGACCCGGGAACACGAATACTATTTGACTGCGGGAGATTGTTTGGACTAGGGGTCGACGAACGAAAAGGGCCGAATAAGAAAATATTGGGTTTCGTGACCCACGAGCTTGGGGGGATCGAGGAAATTATCAACGAAGTTACACGGTGGTTCGTGCGATCCTTTCGGGTCGTTACAAAATAAATATCTAAGAAGCATGTGCCATTAACTAATATTTATTTATTTAATCCTTGCCTAGTAGGCTTAGGGTGACTCTAGTTTCCATCTAGTGAGCTGTAATTGTCCCTGCTTTCTCAACCCTGTCCATTAGTAACAAATGTTTAGTAACTCCCCATACAGTTTCCAGATTCTTAACTTAAAAGACCCTTGGGATAATCTTGACCACAGATTGACAGCCATCGTTCCAGATCGTTTATACGCTTTTATCGTTTTTCCACCTGTCGCGTTCTCGTGAAAACGTTATTAAATCAACTTTATCTCGCGAAACTGTGACCCCGATGGATATCGGGAGCATGAATTTTTGGACGAACTGGCCGTTAGGCCCGTTTCGCGTCGTTGGTTTTCGTCGAAAACGCCATTGTCGCGACGCGGTTCATAGCAACGGGAATAGACGCGAGCGTTATTTTTACGGAGGACTCTATAAAATTTTAAGAGGGAACTCGTTAAAATTGAAACATTAAGGCCGAGAGCGCACGACGTCGACAGTTTATCGTTTTTCGATAACACGGAACATACGTAGTACGTAGTCTCCAAACTTTCGAAGAACTTTCCATCCCCGTGGAAAATTCCCATGTAACCCATCCGAAATTCCTTCGGGACACAACTTGGTTTCGTCGCGGAACGAGTGCTTCCCATAGGAATTTTCGTCGCGAACTCGAGAATTTCCAACTAGAAGGTCGAACACTCTCGAGTGTGCAACGATTGGAATCTCGTTCTCCCGTCCTCCGCGCCTGTCCTATAAATGTTTGCACCCCGACACCTTGTAGCGTAGCTGAACGACAGCACGGCAGACGTCTGTACGCTAATCGCATATTTTCTTTTCTTTTCTCGTTGCAGAAGCCGATTACACTTTAGATGATTCCTTTTGGAACGAGGAGACTCCTGTTGGTGAGTGAATGGAAAACAGAACCGAATTCGTTGGAACGACGTCGACAGGCTCGCCCGATTACCAAATTATCATCTAACACGATCTAGTACTCTTTAGTTTGCACGACAAATAGGTTTAAAAGGATATATACTGCTTATTGGAAAACGGATAACAAGTTTGTAATAAATCGCGAGAATGGAAGTTCATGCGAAAAGTCAAATGTATAAGTTTAGCCGTTATCGATTCTGTTTTGCTATATAAAGCTGCGGTTATGGGGGAGGCAAAGAACTTATCGTCTAGAAAAATAGCCTCCATAGAATGTCTTCTTAATGAGAAAACTTGTCGAGGAAAGTTTGAATGAAGCGTTGTTTGCAAACAAACTCTTTTCGCTTTAAATTTTATAACTCGAGTCCAATAGTTTGCACACCTCTGTGTATCGTGAGATACTTTCTGAATCTCAATGCGTCCCGAAGCTCCCTTTGTTGTATGAAGAAACCCTATTGTTACAAATGTATCAGAAAGCTAAAAAAAAAAACAAATATTTATTCGTTCACGAAAATAATTTGACATTTAGAAGACGTTCAGTGATTTTTATCATATTAGTCTTATTGAGAATACGTATGGCAATTTGGCATACCTCCAGTGATCGGACACTTAGCAAAGTTTTTATTTAATATGAGATTGACGAAATTTCGGATTCTATATTTAAAGTCAGAAAACCCATGAATATTATTTATTAGCAATTTATATCGAATTTCTTTCTACCCAAGATATGATTTTTTCCCACATAACAAATTTTTATCGTTATTTATGGCAACAGAAGAGTCGTATTTTGACTATTCACTCGTAATACCACAGACGATGTATACGAGTAGACCTTACACCTTATGGACTTTCGGAGCCCAACCTGATTGCGATACTGACTTCAAAATTCGGAGCTGCAGAAATTTTTCGGCGAAATTGAAAAATTTCAAATCATTCTGAAAAAATTATTTTTGACTGCAGGGATCAATTACAATTATTTTTTATTAATACACATACCCCTGAAATCCTACACACTTTTGAGAAAAAAATTCATTACTGAAAATATAATGTCCGACCATCCATTGATATGTTTCACTGAAATTTCATGTGCATGTTTAAACATCGTAACTTCTGAATGGATTGGAAGATTTTAAAGTTTCGAAATGCAAACAACGCATATTTTGGTATAGAATATGCAGAAATTCTAATAAATTTCGAGAAGTTGTTCCTTAACCCCGTAAAGTGAAAAAAAGCTGATAGAAATGGTCAAAAATTCAAACGATCATAGCTCCTACAATAATGAATGAATTTCATTGAAATTTAGTAGGGAAGTAGAGTTCATGGGTACCTACAAAAAAGTATTAAACAACATTTCCGTACAGCGTCAAACAAATTAATTAAAAATGCAAAACGAATTTTTAAGAAAAATCAACAAGGCCTAAATCTTTCGGCGAAATTGAAAAATTTCAAATCATTCTGAAAAAATTATTTTTGACTGCAGGGATCAATCACAATTATTTTTGGTCAATACACATATCCTCGAAATCCTACACACTTTCGAGAAATAAATTCATTACTGAAGACCTAATGTCCGACCATACCATTGATATGTTTCACTGAAATTTCATGTGCATGTTTAAACATCGTAACTTCTGAAAGGATTGGAGGATTTTAAAGTTTCAAAATGCAAACAACGTGTATTTTGGTGAAGAATATTTAGAAATTCTAATAGAAATCTCGTAATACCACGTTTCCCTCAACCCTTTCGTAATTTCCATCGTTCCTTCGTTTTACTAACGGTGTTCGTGATTTTCTCGCGCGCAACTAATTTTCATCGTTTTGGCCGGCCAGTAGGCGTCGCAGGAATCATTTCTTGAAAACCATCAGTCCGTAGAGACGCTTCCGCGAAAAATCTTGCCTCTAATTGCGACGAAACGAGTATCTTCCAGTCCCTTTGACGCGAGGACAAAGAGCACGCGAATGTAAAGTTACGAAACGATCGCATAAATAGACAATGCGTACGGAACTTCTTGTCAAAGTCTGGTTTCCCTTTGAAGCACGCTGCACGCCTCGGCGGCGCAGAAAATTCAACGCGCTTCGAACAAGAGTCGAGATACTAATCGCACATTGAAGAGGATACTCGAATCAATGTTATCGCGCGAAAGAGAGCTCGCGGACGTATCTGGCCCGCGTTCTCGTTAACGCTTAGACGGCGACCGTCAATATGCTCTTGCAACGACTTACGGGCAAACGAAACATACTTCTGCTTCAACCTAACGGCAATTGAAAATGGTTATAAACTGATATTGCAATCACTATTGTTAGCTAATCTTCGATCGTCTGCTTTCGAACAGTTCTTTTATTCGTCCAAGCTTTGACTAATCTTAGATTTTCATCCCCCTATTTTACTAGGTTGCCTTACTTGTCCTATTTTAATCCATTTGTGTTTGTTTGTGTGACGAATTATATATAAAATGTACGTGTACCTATGTGCAGAATAAAGTTTACTAATAACAGTATTGACCTAATAGATAGAACTAATAAAAAACAGCCATCGTTATTAAATATCCGGTTCCATATTTGTGAGTAATTAGCAATAAGTCGTAGCGTAAATACTGTGAAAAAAAATATACGGTTAAAATATATTTTTGAATATATACAGAACTGTAAATTCGATATGACGAAATTGAATAAGCTTAAAGAGTATTACGGTTGGCGATGGTTCGAAGCATAAATGTGGCGTATCGAAAGGAATTTCACAGAAAATAATGAAATTGGGTAATGTAGCACCATTGATTACTCACTGGATTATTCATCAACAGGCTTTGTGCGTGGATATTGTCAGTGAATTCAATTTTATCATGGACGCTATAGCGCCAACAATAAATTGTATAAAATAACACGGCAAAGGTAGACACTTTTGTAGGGGATATTGGATTATTACGAAATGAGTGTTATATTCGTAAAAATAAAAGTTGTCCGCGAGATATTTGATGTTCATAGAGACGGAAATTATAATTTCCGAGTACTGGGGGTTGTTTTACCCTCCAGTATTTATAGTACTTAACGATAAATTAAAAAGGAAGACAATTACTAAACACTTCGATATTTTCAAGCCAGTATCAGAGAGTGGAACTTCGAAGGGATGTTCTCTTTAAATTTAAGAAAGAAAACACGTGTCCCTTATCTTGGTATGCACCGGGAGCATCCAAGGTTACATGAAAATCTCGAGAGAAAACGCTGTTTGAACGTTCCTCGTAAGTGTTAACTTTATCTCTGGACCGAGTATCCACGAAAAATTCCATTTTCTTTGTTCGGCGGGAGGGTGGGAGGGGAGGAAAAAAGGAAGGAGGATAGGAATGTAGCCGCGAAACAGGGTCTTTCGTCGGTTTCCAAGGCCGTCTGGCTGGCGGGATCCGTCGACGCACAAATTTCCTTGCAATTCGCGACGAAATGTACGCAAAGGAACCAACCGGGGGGTAGAGCAGACCGCATTGCAGCACTTCCCGGCTGGGGAAACTCGATCTGCGGTTACATCTAGTTCTCGGACGCGGAGAATGGTTTATTGTTAAGTCAACAGAGCGGTGATTGGCTGGAAACGCGAAACTTAAATTGGGTTAAATTTTAGACGAGAGGACAATGCGTCCGAGTATAAAACGGACAGAGGGTAAACCCGAGACAGGGCGGGAGAATCGTCGCCGCTTCTTCGATCGCGCAACCGTGAAATCCCATCGACTCGCCCTGACGAGAAACCGACGGGATTTTCTTTCGTTCGACGAGGCCGACCAGCATTTTCTTCCCGTCCCGCGGGACTATTTTCCCCGACTCCGACAGGCGGAGGGGAGGGAACGAAAATTTGAATTGCAAACGAGACGGCCGGTCGCTTCGCGGCGTTTCCCAAAGAATTAATATTCATACTCGTATTTAATTACACGCGTTCTCCCCGCTGACCGCCTATAGGCGAACAGATGTTCTGGCTTGAAAAGTATCGGGTCCCGCTGAAACTTCCAGCGTTTCTTCGGGAGGGGATAATGCGGCGAAGGAGACGCGGCAAAATCAGAATAACGTTGGCTGTTTGAAATATCCAAGTGTCTGAACAACTACTGTCACCGACTAATTTCTCACGCCAGAAACAATAGGGGAGATTATTCAATTGAGAAGAACTTTTACTGGAATTATTTTCATTTACATTTTCTTGTCAAAACTCCTAGTTTCTTCCGTATTTTTTTAGTCTACCAAAGTAATATAGAAACACTTTCAACGCGTTGTTCCTGCTTTCCATATCTCGAAATGAAGAGAAACTTTAACGAAATTACTTTACCAAGACGTTCGATAATGGGCTACGGTAACAGAAAATGAACATTGAACTTTGAAACGCTCGGTACAGAAAAAGGAACAGAACTTTCTTCGCGGTACCCGATGAACCCGCCCTATGAATTCCAGTCGCAGGGCGCGAAACGTAATAACCTGCCGCTTCGGTTAAATTAATCGCAATTCCGCGCGTCTCGAGTACTAACGACGTTTCTCCAGAAACGACAATAAACGGCCTGCCAACGGTGACACGCGTGGCAACCCCACGGACGGCCAACTTAATCGGTTGGTAATCTCAGGTGCGCACCGACTCTGGAAATTCAATCTACAAATCGGGTTTCATCGTATAAAGCCGCGTTCGCGCTCAACGACGCCATTATGCCGTCCCACGCAGGTTACGGAAGGATAAAGAAGGTGATTTCTGATTTTCAGAGTGAAAAGCAATATTTTTTTCTGTGCGTTCTCTTCATGTCTGGACCTTAGAAATTACGCGTGCAAAGCCATTGACGACGTTGCAGACGTTATGGGGACTACAGTGGAACAACCCTGTTGAAATTATGACTCGATGTGATAGTGGTGTACGATTCATCCATTTGAGTTTTTTTAGAGACATTCATGAATTTATTAAAATTGTTCTATGAATTGAAAAGGCACTTAACGAACTGCACCATGATTCCAAATCAAT